ACTATGTTTTACTATAAATTTATGACAAAATATCAATCCGGATATAAATATATCCGGATTGAAGTATTAACTCTAGTAAGGCCACACATATACTTGTTGGCAAAATTCCAAACCCCAAAATAGCAATCTTAAAATTTGGCAAATATATTATGTATAACTATAAATATGTGCCAAACCTAGTTTTGGATTTTGCCAACATGTATAGCCACAATAAGTCAACAACACAGGACGGATACGGGTAAGTGCCCCGAAATCAGAACGCCAAGTGCGGAAGAAATGCATTTATATCACAAGACAGGGTGCAAGCTCTAGCAGCACTCACCCGAAATGTTTGACTATGCGATTCTACCATTTCTCTACCTATACCCATTTCTGTGCTCATTAAACCACCGGCTGATTAATCCTACGGCAACTCCCAGCGCAATAATTATTGCAAACTTCTCGAGATGTCATCGCTGTTCTGGCCAATCTCGGTCAATCACTCACTTCATTGTCATCATGTACTAAACTTCGTTTCAATTACCTTAATAAAAATCATTTCCGGCCTAAATATCCCCAAACATAAGATGTGTGTAATGCGATGGTTTTCGTTAAAAAAAAAAAATTTTTGTCCCGTTAGGGATGGCCACTGCGCAGAATTTTTGGCTCGTACAATGCTGCGGGTTGCGCAGCCTGCGTAGTAGATTCAAAATATCAAAAACCTAATACGTAGATCTTATAAAGAGCTATCAGATAGGGTTAGTTGACTAAAAAAATATGTATAATAAACTAGATGAGTGCCGCCAAGGGAAAACCTGACTTCGGATTTCAATAACAGTTAACCGTTTATGGAAAATATATCATAATGATAGATAGATGGCTAACTGTACACAAAATATAATTGAAAGTTCCCGAAGTCAGGTTTTCCCTTGGCGGTACTCATATACTGTGTTTAGTCGGTTAATTAGTCGACTAAACCGATTCCAATCCCTCTATCGTACTTCTGATATTTTCTCGATTCGCGTCATTGATCAGTGTCATATCAGATCAACACCCCTTACAATAAATTACCAGAATTTGTGTGGCGCTGTACAATAAAGCATAAATCAGGATTATATTTGTACCATTGGAGGTTAGTTAACTGGCCCATCGTTGTGAAATGATTTTTTTAAGTGCTGCACACCAGGTGTGGGATTACGTCTGGATCAGGTACGTACGTACGTACGTACGTTTCCTCCCGTTATTTTATTACACGTACAGACGTACAACGAATTTTTCAAAATTCCGTGTTGACTGCAATCAATTGCCTATATATACATATGAATATATGTAGCTGCTGCATGCATTTTATAAATTTCTACTCATTCTGGAGTACGTAATAATATTTTAGGCTTTTTTCCCTCGGGACTATATAGTGAAAAAAACTAAAATATGCATTTAGTGTGTGCATTTATCAGTTATGGAGAAAGCTCTAATAACGTACGTACGTACGTACGTGCATTACGTGAGTACGTGCATTTATCAGTTATAGAGTAAAAGAGTAAAACGTTACGTTCTCGAAAAGTACTGTATAAATAAGTTACCTGGGTTACCCGGGCATCAGCAAATCAAACTAACTTCCGCCTTTGTATCAGGATCTGCACATTGCAGATTTAAGTCAATAAAAATATAAATCTATTACACTGGGTTACACGTTAATCTAAACATATAACTTTCTTTCAGACGAATATACTAAAATCTGTTGGAAATAATCGGACTCGGGGGGACCTGGAAAATTCTGGGCTATAAAATTTTCCGATCCTTACTCCGAATAGTTGAACATGTTTGTATCCATTGATCCAAAGTATTTTCACAAATATAACATTTTTAATCAAATTTTACTGATTTATTGTCTTTCTTCTTATTAGTATGATCAATATTTCAATATTAGAGAGTATTTGTGGTAGCGATCCTTGGGTAATAAACTTTCTTTTTAACAAGAGTCCAGATGTTCTTAAAATTTATATTCTTGTTTGTCGTACCATATACTTATTTTAGGGACCGTGGCAAAATAATGATTTTACGGATTGCTTTCGAGAAGTGTAAATATTTTATAATGATTTATTTTTTATTTTCGTATATCTGACTTTTTATCCGACAAAAATTAGTGTGGTCGACGCTGGAGTCTTATCACTTTATTCAACTGCTTCACTGTGTATTCTCATAACTGCTTATCTTAAATTGAGGCGACATAAAGGACCAGACTATGAACGTTTATATAATAGTCAATTTAATTCAAATTACGGCTCTATTGAACGATCCGAATTGATCAATGACAACGAAATAGATTCGGATGTTTCTGATGATAATTCAGATTATTCAGATGAAACTCTTGTTGGCAATCAGATTTCTAAAAATATGCTCTTCGATGGTACCCGGCTTGTTATCAGTATTGCCATATGCTTGTTATTTGGTTTCCTTGCCATAATAAGACGGCAAGATTTTCATGAGAATCAACATGGAAATTATTGGCTTGCGACTCCTATATTCGAAACTATCATATGGGTGCGTGTTTATTGTTTAATTGTCTATTTTGAATTGTAAACTATTAATAATTTTAATATACATTATTTTAGGCTTATGCAACAATTTTAGCGGTGTTTAACATTGTTTCACAGCAGCGTAGTGTTCTTCATATCCGTGGACACATAAACTTGTTATACTTTCTTTCTTTAGTTTCTTCAATAGCAAATATTCATTCTCTTTATCTTAAGTTTGGTACAGATTTCAACTCAGAATATTATCTCATGTTATTGATTCTTAGTTTTTCTTCCATCTTGATTTGCTTTTCGATATCGGAACCTCAAGATGATGTTAAATTGCTCTCAAAACCAAATGCTGAGGTATTTTTGTCGACGCTCTATTTGTTTAGCCTCAATTGCTTGCTTGAACAAAATCTAATTTCATATTCATTAGGGCCGTTACCCGTCCCCTGAGGTGAAATGCTCCTTTTACGATCAATTCACATTTTCGTGGGTCAATCCGTTAATCAGCAAGGGTTTTCGGTCTACCCTTAATGATGAAGATATTTTTGAGTTACCTAGTTTTGCTAGAGCTAAAAATATATTGAAAACCTTTCACTCTTCTAAAAAACCCTCTATCATCAAGTCTTTAATCTTAGCCTCTCAAAAAGAGCTTCTTATTCAATTTCTTTACGCAATAGTCTGGACTCTGATTTATTCTTTTGTACCACCTTATTTTCTCCGAAAATTGTTATTATATGTTCAAAACTATTCAAATCATGAAGAGTCGCATGTGACGGCTTATTCATATGCTTTTGGATTATTTTTTGGAACAGTGGTGCCAAGTATGTGCTTCCAACAGGCATTATATATTGGCCGCCACCTGAGTGTGAAGTGCCAGGTAGATAAAAATATTGGCCCAAGCGTTTTTAAGTTTTTCTGTCACCAACAATTTTGCCTTTTAATTATTGTAGGCAATAATCATTGGTGAAGTATACATGAAGTCTCTATCTCGAAAAGATACATCAGGCGTTGTTGAAAATGAAGAATCTAAAAATACAACTGGAAAGATAACTAATCTTATGGCTGTTGATGCACAAAAAGTCTCGGAATTAGCGGCATACGTTTTTTATTGTGAGTTTCAATAAATTTATCCTACTCCGGTTTGCAACGTAAAATTATTCTAACATGTTGTATCCTTTAGTATATGCCTATCCAATGCAGATCATCATTAACATAGTGTTGTTGTACGCCTTGCTTGGTGTGTCAGCCTTGGCAGGTGTATTGGCCATAATTATAACATATCCAATACCAGCCTTTATTAATCAGGTATATTATGATTAAATAGCATTTATTTTATTTATTAAATAACTATTTTATTTATTAATTAGACATTGATTTGTAAATTATAATTTTAGAGGTTTCAAGTTATTCATAAACGTCTTATGGCCGCAACTGATAATCGAATGGGTGTGATTAACGAGGTTATTGCTACATCATACTTTCCGAGCTTGATAATTTTTTGCTTTCGTCTCAAATTCAGCCATATTTACTTTTATTAATAGTTGTTACAAGCCATTCGTGTCATTAAATTTTTTGCATGGGAAGACCACTTTCGAGCAAAGGTTATTAACGCTCGTGATAACGAGTTAGAGAAAGTCAAAGATCGGTTAACGGAATGGGTTTATATGTGTTGCCTTTGGACGAGTTTACCTCTCATTATAATGTTGTCTGTGTTCATTACGTATACGAAATTATTAGGCAACGTAAATATCGATTTTTTATTATTAGTTTTCTTATCAAGTTGTATTCATACTTAATCAATTTTTGTTAAAAGGAGTTGACTGCTGCTGTTGCATTTACCGCCCTTGCACTATTTAATAATCTTCGTCATGCCCTTGACGAAATGCCATCAATGCTTACTTCCGTTATTCAAGGTGTGTTCTAATTATTTGTTTTTTATTAGATCTTCCCAAACCTTAAAATTTAACGAATATATACAATTTATGCAGCTCGTATTTCAATTTCTCGTATCGAAAAGTTTTTAAACGAACCAGAACTTAATCGTAAAAATTCTATCCCGAGTATTAATGATCCCTATATTGGATTTAAAAAAGCAACTTTCCGGTGGCCAGATGGTGAAGATTCCATAGACAATTCCTCCGTTTATATAGACTTAAATGCGCAAAATCCATCGAATAAATTCACTTTGATAAATTTAAATGTATCTTTTCCTGCCAACGAATTGTCAATAATCTGCGGACCTACGGGTAGTGGGAAAACAAGTCTATTGATGGCATTATTAGGAGAAATGGATTGTTTAGATGGCCGTGTGTTCTTGCCTAGGACGAATATAGAATCTTCAAATAAATTGGGAGGTGCGCCGAGTGGTATTGCTTACGTTTCTCAAACAGGTAATTTCACTTCCTTATACATTTGTAATATACACATATATATATCAATTCTTTAGCTGACAAAGAAAAAAAATTTTTTAGCGTGGCTCCAGAATGCTTCTATTAAAGATAATATCCTGTTTGGCCTTCCATTTGATTCCGAAATTTACTCGGAGGTTTTACGTGTTTGTGCCCTCGATAGAGATTTGGAGATTCTTGAATTTGGGGATAAAACAGAAATTGGTGAAAAAGGAATAACGCTTAGTGGTGGTCAAAAACAACGTAAGAATTAACTAGAATCATGTGTATATAATTTGAAAATTTTGAGATTGAAATTATGATTTTATTCTTTTTATTAAAGGTGTCGCTTTAGCTAGAGCCGTTTACTCCCAAGCTAAAATAATAATTTTAGACGATTGCTTATCTGGTAAATTTATTTATATTATAATATACATATTATACATTCTGAACTTACGTTTTTTTTCGTATTATACAGCTGTTGATTCGCACACCGCTAAACATATATTTGAACAATGTTTGATGGGCAATTTGATGAAAAACCGTACCCGTATTCTTGTTACACATCACGTAGGATTATGTCTTCGTGGTGCTGCTAAAGTTGTAGTTATGAAGGATGGTCGAATATCGGCTGAGGGATCTGTAGAAGAGATTTTAGCTACGGGACTGTTGGACGATGTGACTTTTGAAAGTGAAGAATTAAAGACCTCTGTTGAGGATGTTATAGATGCAAAATCTCAGAAAAGCAACAAAAATATTCGTGAAGGCGATGGACGACTGATTTCTGAGGAAACAAGAGCTGTCGGTAGGGTTGAATGGAAGTATTACAAACTCTATTTGGTAGCATCTGGCGGATTTTGGTATTGGTTGTCAGTATTTCTTTTGTTCGTAGTGACACAGATTATCTACGTCGGGCAAGGTTGATTTTTTAACTTTCATTTAACTGGGTAACATATTAATACAATATTACTAATAATTCTTATGACTTTGATTCAGATTGGTGGGTTCAAGAATGGACTAAAGCTTATAATGATATCTATAATCAAATCCATCAATTTGCTACGACCATATCATGGAGTTTTACTTCTCTTTTACTAGATAATTTACACCACACTACGAACAATTTGGCATTATCTTACGTCTCACCCCCTTCCCTCAATCATTCCTTAATCAATCGCTTATCATCAGTAAATATATTAGAAGAGACCCATAAGCCCCTTAATGTTGATTATTATATTTGGGTTTATGCATTAATTGGACTGGTGTCCACCTTCTTAACGTCTTTCAGGGCATATTACATGTTCATTGGTTCTCTGATGGCTTCTAAGAAGTTACATAGTGATATGTTAGATAAGGTGCTGTCGGCAACACTTAGATTTTATGACACAACACCAATAGGTAATATACGTATATTAAGTTATATTGATTTCGTGTAACTTATGCACTTAATAATATATGTTAAACTTTTGAAGGAAGAATAATGAATCGATTTTCTAAAGATATGGAAACAGTTGACCAAAACATGGCTCCTGTTGTTATGTTTCTTCTTTATTCGTTCTTTTCTACCGCTTCGGTGATTTTTGTCATTTCAATTGTAATGCCTCAATTCTTAGTAGCTGGTGCTTTTATTGCAGTAATGTATATAGTTATTGGTGCATATTATATAGCTGCTTCCAGAGATTTAAAACGTAAGATGCCTGTCCATTTATGTATCGTTTTTTTTTCAGTTATTTTGATTACAACAATTTATTTACATATAATTATTTAGGTCTGGAATCTGTTAGTAGGTCTCCAATATATGCAGCATTTGGCGAGGTAAATACTTTACCATTCTTGATTTAGATGTTAATGTATTGTTTTTGCTTATTACCTATATCCATATGTTATACATAAAGACCATAATAGGTGTATCTACTATCAGAGCATTTGGTGCTGAAAAAAGATTGATGAAAAGAATTTTGCGTCTCGTAGATAACAATAATCGACCGTTCATATTCAATTGGGCATGCAATAGATGGCTTCATACTCGTGTTGATATATCAGGTGGCCTAGTTGGACTTTCCACTGCTGTTATTATTGTGTATAATCTTTCCAAAGGAATGGATCCTGGTTTAGCAGGTTTCGCATTGATAAATGCATTAAATTTCACCGGACATGTAATTTGGGTTATTCGCATGTATGCCGTTCAGGAGATGAATATGAATTCAAGTAAGTTCCATTGTTTATATTTATGTTTCTTTTTTTCATATTCTAACTCTGTTATTTTGAATTTTTCAGTTGAGAGAATCCAAGATTACCTGGAATTGGAAGAAGAACCACCAAGAATTATCGAAGGTCATCGCCCACCATCGGAGTGGCCTTCAAGAGGAGATATTCAAGTTAACAATCTCGTTATGCAATATGCACATGATAACCCTCCGGTATTAAAAGATATTTCATTCCACATTAAACCTGCAGAAAAGATTGGAATTGTTGGTAGAACTGGTAAGCTTGCGCATTGATATATTTTAAATATGACTCCGAACAACACAAGTAAAATGATATTCAATAGGGGTTGCCAAATTTAACCCTATTAGTATCCTGTTACCTACGAATTTTGGCACAAAATGAGGTCAATCAGGAATCAATAGGGTCCCGATTATTGCCAAATTTAACCTATTGATTTCATATTGATATTGATATTGAAATTTGCAACAATCAAGTAACCCTATTGATTCCCGATTGACTTCTGCGCCAAAATCGTAAGTAATATTATGTCAATAGGGTTAAATTTTGTAGTAATCAGGTTACCCTATTGATTCCCTATTGAATATCACTTTACTTGTGCAATGCGGATAGAGGTTATATGGTTATGTTATTACATTATGCACTTTACTGTAATTCTAATTGGTTGAAATAAGGTTCAACCAATCAGAGTTGCAGATTTTGGATAAAGTTGTAAAATTTTATATTAAACTTAATACAACCTTTCTATGTATTGTTCGGTTCTTATTTGAATAGTATATAACTTAACACTGTATATTGGTCATTTATAAATTGTCTGTTCAAAGTCCACTAAATGAGATGATTCACGTTTTGTATTCTTAGGGTCTGGGAAATCCACATTGGCCACATCTTTTTTTAGGTTTATGGAACCAACTTCTGGTCAAATAATTATTGATGGAGTTGATATTTCAACTATTGGTCTTTTTGATTTAAGGAGTAGGCTTACCATAATACCTCAAGATCCAGTGTTATTCAGCGGAACTTTAAGGTAACATTTGTATTCTTTGATACTCGTTCATTTTAGTAAGGCAATTGCATCATTTTGTCTTATTGCTTATGATTGGTTATTCAAAATTGGCATAAATGTATAGGAGCAATCTAGATTCTTTTGATGAACATGATGATACTGAATTACGGAATGCACTTCGAAGAGCTCATCTAATTGATGATGTAACTACAGGTTCAGGCGCTGAAAATGATAACAAATTATCACAGAATGAACAATCACAAAGTCAAATAACATGGACTCTCGACGCTCCCGTTAGTGAAAATGGTAATAATTATAGTCAAGGTCAACGGCAGTTGATTGCACTCGCGAGGGCATTGGTTCGTAGATCTAAGTTGATTATTATGGATGAGGCAACAGCTAGTGTAGATTTTAAGACAGACCGTATGATTCAAAAAACAATACGTGAAGAATTTAGTGATGCAACTCTACTATGTATTGCACATCGTTTAAGAACAGTTGTAGATTACGATAAAATTTTAGTGTTAGGTAAGTATCATTTGGTCTTATTCGAAATATTTATCTTTGTTTTTATGGATTTATCTGTTAATTATATTTTATAATTGTAATAGATGCTGGAAGGATTGTGGAGTTTGATCATCCATATATTCTCCTGCAAAATCCAAACTCAATGTTTCGTGGAATGTGTTATCGAAGTGGTGACTTGGCAGAATTAGTCGAAATTGCTAAGGCAAAATATGACAATGATTGTGGAAATATTGGTGTTTAGAGTCTAACTCATAACTAGAGATTCAATTTAGAAAATTAAATATAACTTTAGATAGATATTTTATGGCTTGAGTGTAACGAGTTTAAAAAATTGCAACAAAAACCGTATACGAATTATATTTAGAGTAGCTGGAAAAAATGATTCAAATGACAAATAATTCATTTCAAACCCAAATTAGGTCATTTAATTGATAATCTAATACTTAACTAATCAGAATTAAATACTATATAGACAAAACCTAATTTTCAGTTATATATAAAAGTGTTTCACCAGAATCTTTGGATGACAAATTACATATATTCTGAAAGTTTCACGTAGATTTAATAGTTTTAACCTTACAAAAAATTTCGCAAAACGTAAATGTAATATGTGGGCGGTCAAAAGTAGAAACCACCCAATTTGAAATTTTAAAAAAAATTTTAACTAAACTTTTAAAGCTCATATCTCGACAACCACTTGATCAAATTTGATGAAATTTTTTTATTTGAATTTTAAAAATCTGTAAAATTTTGATTTAAAAAAAAATTATTAAATTTGATCAAATGATTGTCGAGATATGAGCTATTAAAGTTTAGTTAAAAATTTTTTTAAAATTTCAAATTGGGTTGTTTCTACTTTTGATCGCCCATGTTATCTCGGTATTAGTATCGATTAATTTATTAATTAAAGCAATAGAGTCTGATAACCTTTTTTATTAGGTATTAAGTCAATAAAGTGTTTTTTGTACACGAATGATCTAAATGACTAAATGTGATGCGAGTTGGTAAAGAAGAAGTATGACAGAAAGTCGTTTTGATGGGCTGTAGACTTTCATCATATGTAACTGATATCTTAAATATGACTAAGTAATAAAATAGAAACTATTGAAAATCCGAAGGATCGGTCTATAACAGAAATCACTGTTGCTCGCTGGAACTTTCTAGTGGGAATTACTGAAACTGGAAGGTCACTGGTAGTAGTAATCCAAATCGTTAATTGAAAAACCAACTACTTGGCAACTAGTTGACTAATCGATTGATGAGGGGAACGCGCATCCCCTTATAAAAAAATAAAAAAGTAAAACGTGCACCGGAACTGGATCTGGTACTGAGTAAACCTTTCTTTGTACTCTAACAAAAATTGTTCTCCATGCTGAGTAGGGTTGGGGCACGGCAAATTTTTGTGGCATACCTTTGCGAAGGGCATGCCGTGCCCCCTATAGATATATGTATCACATATATTATTGTAATTAGCAATAGTAGGTTTAATTCTAATTGGCCAATTTGATAATTGGTAAATTATATATATAGGGTGAGAGTAGGGTTGGGGGTATGGCAAATTTTTGGGGCATGCTTTATGAAGGCATGTTGAACACTTTGGACAATTTTGAACAATTAAATAAGTTTAAATTACTCAAAATTTTATTAAGATAATCTATATTATTTTCTAGGTAAAATATGTTTATTTAGGGTGTGGTGACTTGGTGAAGTTGGTAAGTTGTTACACCCCAAGCGGCAGGACAAGAGTTTGAATTCCACTGGCGATGAAATTCAAATTTTATAGAATGCATTACGGTATACTGTGCACAACTACACAGATCAACGGATTTGTAGTTTTGATTATATCAGCTCATATTGGAAGGCTGTGAAACATTAGTGTGACAAATGAGTTACACAAATTTTGAGTGAAGCAGTCAGATAAATCCAAGGGTGTGGAGTATACAGAAGCCCGCTTGGCAAGACCCGAGTAAAGAGATAGCACAGACTTTTGATGGTATTACGTAAAGGAAAATCATTTGGAAAAAAGAAAACCCGAACAGGACCAAGATGTTTGGCAAGCATCACACCAACCAGGCTGCCAGGTCAGCTAGAGGAAGGGGTCCGCCCTTCCAGACCATCTGGATTGGAAGTTTAGAGAAAGCCGAAAGTATAGTTGGTAGTTCATATAGTGGATGCTGGGGTTTAGGTAAACTCTATAAGGTGAAAGTAGGTAACGGTAGCAGCCTCGGCTCACAAGTACTTGTCTTTAGACTTGGTGTAAGTTACTGAATCTAGGTTAGCCAGATTGTAAGTATGGAAAGCTCTAGCAATGATGTCTTAAAGATAAAGTAGTCTTAAAGGAATGAGTCAAAAATATAGGACTTCTCAGCTGATATACATAGTAAAGATGTAATAGTGATACAGATACAAGTTGCATTACAGAGAGTTTAATTAGGTAATTTAAGTAATAGTGGATTACAGGTATGGCATCTAGTATAAGACTTAACAATAAGGAACTACTTAATTAGACGCTCAAAAGGTGTAGATATGACTAAAATGTATTCTCTAATGTAATAGGGTTCCTTTGAGGCTTTGACCACGAGCCCTTAATTTGAATACTTGAATAAAAACCCTAGCCCCAAAGAGGTTAGTTATAAAAGGTAAAAAAAAAATATATGTTTATTTTTTTTATTTTTTTTTTAACTAGCCTCTTTGGGATTATAGTTTTTATTTAAGTTTATAGGTAAGGAGCTCACTTATAAAACTCCAGTACATTTATATACAGACCTAGCTTGTATTATTAGTACATTTTTGTTACAATTACCTGTCGTAAGAAGTTTCAGATGCTTTTTCTGATACCTTTAGGATTAATTTATCCTCGAGACATTGTTAGCTAGAGCTTTTCATACCCACAATCCAGCTAACCTAAACTTCGGTAACTTATACTGAGTTCAAGGACAAGTACTTGCAAGCTGAAGCCACTACTATTACCTACTTCTGCCCTTGCAGAGTTTATCCAAATCCTAGCACACACTTTACAGACTATCACCAACTTTCCTTCACTACAGTGCCCAAACTCCTAATCCAGATGGTCTAAAGAGAGACCAGTGGGCATCCCCTTGGTATTCTGGTTGAATTTTTTTTTCTCGTTTATATAAGGCTTGTCCCTGTATACTCATGGCCTGGTTGGTATTAGTGTCTTGCCAAATATCCGGTCTTCATTCAGTTTTACTGTTGGTATTCGATTGCTGATAATCATTCTTTACATAGTACCGTTGAAGATCTGTGTTACCTCTCTACTCAGAACTTGCCAAGCAGGCTTCTGTGTGCTATGAGCCTGAGCCGTAGATTTATATGGTTGCATAACTTATACATTATACAGCCTTCCAAAACAAGCTAATACAACCAAAGTTACAGATGCTATCACCCCTCAGGATGTTATACAGTATAGCATAACGTATTCTATACATTCTGAATTTCATTACTAGTGGGATTTGAACTCTTATCCTGCCACTTGGAGGTGCGACAACTTAACAACTTCACCAAGTCATCACACCCTAGTAAAATATGTTTAATATTTAAAAAAATATATATAGTCAACTCTCTTTAATCTGAACCTCTCAATCCGAACACTATTAAATTCTTTCTAATCTGAACAAAAAACTTTAGAATATTTGTAAATTTTATTATAGAGTTTGAATTAGCTAATAATAACTCTTTGAGAACAGAACTTTTTAATCAATTTTATATATAAGAACAGACAGGTCGGAATTATACATGCCACTGAAATAGGTTTTCAAAAAACCTCTGTTTTGTCTCTATTAAAGCAATTTGAAATTTTTTATATGCAATAGCAAATCTAATTTAGGTAGTTATGTTCTTTATAATTTCGTCTCTTCAAAAAAAGTGTCAAAAAATTTCGTTTTTTAAGTAAAGTAGGTCAAAAACAATTTCATCTTTAAATTTTAATTTCGTATCCCGAAACCTAAAATAATTTCGTCGGTATATATAGTCAGAATAGACAGAGTTGACTATAATTATATATGTTTTAATTTTAATTAGTCAATTTGATAATTAACTAATTATATAACAGCTCTGTATTATATAATAAGTGTATGCTTTTTAGTTAAAAAGTATACCTTAGATATACTTCAAAGTATGCTCTATAGACTTGCCTTTTAATTCTATATTTTTAATTTTAAATAAGAAGTATGCCAAAATTTTTTAACATGTTTTCTAGGCATATTTCTGGTTTTTTAGATTTAAAAGCATGTCTTATAAGCATATTTCCAAAATTTTTTATAAAATGATTTTTTTATTATATAAATGTTTTGAAAAGAAACATGTTTAAGAAAGGTATATTTATAAACTCTATACCTCTTATTTTACTTTATATTATATAATAAAATATATCTTTTAATCAAAAAATATATTTTTTAACCTTATACTTTTACTAGCTTTAATAGTATTTACAAACAATCTACTACATTAAAATAATACTAAAAAATTCAAAAAAACTTGTCTAGTACTATTTTATAATAAAATGGTTTGAGCTCAATAGCTTATTGGTTAAGCTTCCAAACCTTTACAAATAAGGTTAACGGTTTGAATTGAGTTGGTATCAAATTTTTAAATTTGTTACTATAATCTAATAGAGCTATAATTAGATACGAAGCTATGTGAAAAGTTTAAGTACAAGTATAGTTTTGAAATAGGAATTCTTAGAAGGAGCTCTGATCATAGAGTACAGACACTATGCATGACAGTAATATTACAGAAAATTAAGGTTGTAAAAGATTGCATGCATTAGTTTTCTAGTTGAAGTAACTCAGAGACAACACCAACATCTGTTTATCTCTATATAAAGCAACACCAACATCTATATATCCAACTTGTGGAGTACTTGCTTAGAAAGATGATTAACAGATTATGCATATTAGTTCTAATTTAGAACAATGCTAGGTATTTGCTTAGGAGAGTGATATGATACTATTAAAACTAGAATAATAAAAGAAGCAATGAACATATGAAAGGGCTATAATAAAGGATTGGCCTTATCTAAATTAGAAGCACCTCTGGCATTATAAAACAACTAGCTAAAAAAGGTAATTCATAGAGACAGGCTGGCTAATCTAGTATATATAAAGGTACCAAAGTTATATCTATATAGAAGTTAATAGTTAATAATGAAAAAAGTCAGAATACATTAATAATAATGCAACACCAACCAAAAGATAAGAGTTCATATTGAAAGTTAAGGTG